TGGTGTAGCAGTGGATGTAGCCGGTTTTGGTAAAACCAAGGATATAGCCACTTTTGTAATAAAACACGCATCAGCTTTAGCCGGATTTGAAAATAAGACTGAAATAGTGTGCTGATTTATATGTATTTTGCCGCATTTTGGAAACGAGTATGTATTACAGTAAATTACTAGAACCTTTGACTATGAGATGGCAGCACCCACACCATTTTTCGTAAATATGGATTTAGCCGCTTTTGGAAATAGGGGACTCATCTATGGGGACGTGAATTTACCATAGAGAACGACCACAAACCCCTCGAATATTTGTTTAACATGAAAGAACATAACCCCAGACTTTTACGTTGGAAACTGGTTCCTGACCAGTTCAATTACAAAATTCAATATAAACCTGGAAAAGTAAAAAGCAATGTCGATGCTTTATCGCGCGTAGAACTTAACGCCATCCATGATGAAATGGATCAATCCATAATTGCAAACCCCGAAACAAAAATTGACGACTTACAAGAACTAGAGGAATTTATCACCCCTGTCCCTAATAACTCTAACAAAATACAAATAATTTCGGATAAAATTGTACCCCCTCAGCCACGTGATGACAGTATTACAGTCCATACAGCAGTAGAAAACTCCATACGAGAGATACCTTTCACTGAATATGTTACTAAAAAAATTTCGAATCAGATAATTATTGAACAGAAATCATCTTATCGATATCATATTGTAAGGCTTGTAAGGAATAAGCCCTTCAAAAATGTTAATAAATTACAGTTACAGCTTAGCGATAACATAGAGGAAGAAATCATAAAGTTCTTCAAAGACTATGTTAATCCAAACAAAGTATATTGCATTTTTGTCAAAAGTTTAGAAATTTAAGATTTAAATATCCAGATTAGCAAAATACTACGTTTGTATTTCAAAAACCACACATACAAGCTTTATTTTTCCAATCAGTTTGTTAGAGATGCTTCAGACAAAGAGAGACAAAAAGAATTAATTTTTCATCATCATGAGACAAAGACTTGTCACAGAGGAACTAACGAAACGTTACTTTCCCTTAAAAAACTATACTACTGGAAGGATATGCAAAAAATGGTATCAGAATACATAAATAATTGTGAGTTATGCCAAGTAGCAAAGTATGACAGACATCCACCAAAAATCAAATTTTCGCTCACACCAACGCCAAAGCAACCCCTATAAGTCTTACATATGGACACTTTTGAATTTTCTGACACAAAATTTCATACTGTTATTGATTCATTTTCAAAATATGCACAAGCGTATCATTTAGATCCAGATGCCACAACAGTGTATGAAAGTATTTTGATATTTGTGAACTATCACGGCATTCCTCAATCAATTACTACTGATAATGGAAGAGAATGCAATAATTCCTTATTTTCTGAATTTTGTAAATTACACAAAATCCAGCTTCACTTTACTACACCATGTAATTCGAACAGCAACAGTCCCATAGAACGATTACATTCAACCCTCCTAGAACTCCTAAGAATTCTAATAACCAAGTTTCCAAAATTATGTCCAAAAGAACTTGTGCAAAATGCAATTCTGGCATGTAACACGTCAATTCACAGTTTTACAAAACAATGACCATTCAACTTATAAATGGCCGCTTAGATGTCGTAGATCCATTTGATCTATCAGATGAGATCATTTTCAGCCAATTTATTGATGATAGACATGAAAGAGTAAAATTTATTTACAACAATATACAACAAACAGACGCTCATAAAAACAATATTATAGAAAAGAGTAATGAAACTAGACAGGACCCATCCAAATTTCCCCAAGGTTCAAAAGCATATATGTCAAAGATAAAACTGCTTCTTGGAGTAAATTAAAACCACGATTCACAAAAACTGAAGTTAAGAAACATTTTTTTTACTAATAAACGCAAAGGTTTAGTACACCAATCTCAAATTCAAAAACCTAAAGATTGTTCTTCTATTCCGCAGGATCATGAATCTGTAAATCAAGAAGGTTCCGATAGTCATTCTATCCCTCATTCTATCCCTCCTACTAGTCGCGACAACCAAAGCCAACAATGACGCAATTGTCATACCTCTATTCGTTAGGTAACGCTAGTATTATACAATCGTATCATACTTTTATTCACTTTGCAGAAACTACTTCATTAACAAGACAGATTACGAATATCCAAAATTATTACGAAAGACTCCAAAATACTCTCAAGCCTTTAAATGCTGATCATTCAGACTCGCAGTTTTGGTCATCAAATCTCATGAAGCATACGAAATTTCTGATACAAGAGGCTACGAAAAAATTAGATAACATTGTTCCACGTATTCATCAGAATCGAGGATTGATTAACCTCGTAGGAAAAGCTTCAAAGTTTCTTTTTGGTACAATGGACTCAGATGACGAAATCAAAATTAATAATGCACTTCATGAATTACAAAAGAACGCAAATTCTGTGCATAGTCAACTGAAACTTCAGACCTCACCGACTAAATAATTGATATATAATTACAATTCTACAATTTCATTATTAAGCTCTAATCAGGTACAGATTAAAGCAAAATTGTATCATCTCCAAAATGCGATGAATGCAACCGTAGGAGGCTTGACAGCTTGTCTAAACTGTCATTATTTTAATTACATTTATAGATAATTTGGAGGTCGCTATAATGTTTTCAAAAGTGAACACTTTACGTAGTTCTATCATATCAGTTTCAGATTCAGAGAAAAACATAAAGTATTTAGTAAAATAACATTTTCTGATAATAAAATCATGTTTTCTGTAAGATTTCCTATATTGTCTGATGAAAAATTTCAATTTTTCCGTCTATACCCAGTTTCTATTAGAAATGCAACCATTATTCCAACCCGTCCCTTTTTGGCTCTTGGAACAAGTCATCAGCAATTGAAGAAGAAGAATGTCCAGAAATTGAAAATGTCTACTTCTGCAAGAATCGACAAGAACCCATCCAAGGTTGTCTAAACGAGTTACTGAAGAAAGCCGAATTTTCAAAATGCCAATTCACGAGGTTGAAGTATCCAGTCCTATTGTTGATGCGATATCACATTCACATACAAATATATAATACAAATCAACTCATCCAAGTTTTGGAACAAGAAGGATGAAATCAAGGGAAACCCTTTGGTCCTTCCAGAAATAAAATTTTGGAATGCAAGATCGAACTTTATGTCCAAGAAAGCTTTGACCCTCAAGACTATTCACCCCGGCAAGATCAAAGAAATGCAAGAGAAAGCAAATTTTCTTCAAATGCAAGAAGAAGCCGCTATTGATCCCTTAATTTGGTTTTCTAGCAGCTCAGTTTTTACTATTTTTTTGCTCGTTACACTAACAGTAACCTTTTGTTATATTTGGAGGAAACAAACCCAGAATAAAAATGATCTACCCCAAGACAAGAAAGATGAAGAAAATCCCGAATCCAGTGAAGAGAGGCCCAAGAAAGATGCAAAAAGAAGAAAAGTTCCTGATAACAGAAAACGTTCCTATTCTGTCTTGAAACTAGGTAGAAGATGCACCTGGAAGAAGAAAATGCTGAGGAAAGCATCAAAGCCCGAAGTAATAAATAGAGGTTTTTCTTGCTTTCCGCAGATTCCTCATTTGTTCGTCGCATTGTACATTTTATTCATTATAAAAGATTTCAAATTATATTTGTAGTCAGTCTTGTTAAAATAAATTTTTTTAAAAAACCCGAACGGCCATTTCGGCAACATATCTTCTATATGCATCAAATTGTTCAAGCTTTTGATTCCTATCATGTGTTTTATCAGCCTGAAACTTCCTACAATTCAAAAAGAGAACGTAACTAGGAGGACGCTGACACGGAACAGTAGAAATTCAAAAATACCCCAGCATTTCTGAAGGAAAGCACAGAATATGAAAACCAAGGAGGCCATAAAGGCGTCCTACAATTGTAGAAACGAGTGACGTTGTGGCCTTTGAATAACGCAGTTTGACCTAAGACTGCAGGGTGACCAATCATAGAACTTTTTAGTATCAGTGTTTGGAATTAAATACAAAAGCCAGAATACGATCTCTCTGTGTATACCATTGCACTTCCTACATATCAGTGACAATTGACAAACTACTGACAAAAGATCTGAGCTACGATGTCACTAACTCCCTCCTCCTGAAAATGAGCTCTCACCACTACAGCCCTGTGAAAAAGTGTAGATGACAGTTATTGCTGACTTCACTAGTTCAAGCCATACTCTAAAAACGCAATAAGTGTTCATTAAAGTGAAAATATCCCAAATCGTTATAAAAAATATGTGAGAGTGTTGACCCTATGCTCAACCGACCGGACTCTTTGAGTTTTTCTATGTAATCTGAATTTTTCTCCGAGATTTATGGAACAAAAACTTTGAAAATAACAACCCCAGCCTGAGGCGGATTCAGGAATCTGTCTAGGAGGGGGCTCAGTCGTGGTCGTAGAATTCGTATTCAGGGATGTATCGGCGATTGAAAATTATTTAACGGGAAGTGAGAGACATCTAAGGAGGGGGGGGAGGCGCATATATTCACAATTCAGGCCCACAAAGGTAATTTCCGTGCCAGGGTACGGCAATATGTACTATTTGACGTAAAAAATGACAGCCTTTGACGCCCGCCGCTCCCCCTCTAAGTCTACCCATGCCCACAACACTCCCCATAAAAAAGGATACTTACAGCTTCGGTCCGAAAAATAGGATATAGAATAGATTTCGTAAGCATTTTGTTTCTCGCGGTCAAAAGTCATAACAGTTGTGGTTTAGCGTCAATTTTTATTCCTTAAACCAGCTCGCTAGAGTGAGAAAAACGCAGATTGAATGTAGGTGTTGCAATCGGCAGAGGCGAAACTCTATTTGATGTCAATATTAATCTCTATATTACGGCATATTCAAGTAGGCATGTAGAAAATATAATGAACAGATGCAGTGTTCAACTGGATATTATGACTCTACAAAATACCTCTTGATAATTAAATATTATTATAAATTTTTGCGTAAGATTGACAAAATGCTGCAGGAAACCTCAATCTCGAAAATTCACGTTTTGCAAACATAATCCTGGAGCTGCCATTGTCTACATTTCAAATAGCACGGTCTGAAGAAGTAAATAAATATTTTCTAAGCTCGACATGAACTTTCTTTCTTGCCTGATATATGATTGCACTAGCCAAGACTACCCACCTCCCCTCTGGAAACAATTAAACATGGTAACATGAATAAATTCTAGCTGAAAGGGGCATGCTTTCGCCACCCACCAGTGGTATCGACAATCTGATCTTCATCATCAGAACTCGTGGATTCGCTGGCGTCCAGTGGTGTACTTTGTCTTATCAATGCCTGCTTGTTGAAAAATTGCTTCGTCCGTTCATAAGCTGTTATTGAAAAACTGTGGATCATTTCTGAATTGTTGGATGAGCCTTATATAAAACTGAACTCTCTTTGAATAGTCTTCTGGAAGCAATGTCTGCACATGCTACACGCACATTCCGTGAAATACGGTGCACACTACTAAAGGGCTCATCTTCAGAAAACTGTATCACTTCATCTTCAGCATGCATGTCCTTACTGGGCTCCAGGTATTTCTTCTGACACATAGGCACTACATACACGTATACATGTACAACAACCTGGAAAATTTGCTCTAATGGGATATCAGTTTACCTAAGTTATTTGCAATACGTAACATTTTCTAACAGTTTACAGTAACAATATTTATTTAGTGTGTTCGTACCATACTTCAGACCTATATATAACATATTATCCTATTTGTACCACAAAAGGCCGTTATAGGATTAGGTAATACGGCACGGTTTAAGTAACCCTTTTGTTACCCAGAATTTTGGGCAGACTATCTGTCTAAAGAGTATTTTGGTGGGTCATAATATCCGGAAGGTTTTCGTAACTATTGACACTTTATCTGCCCACTACTTTTTCTTCGGACTTAAATAGTGCTGTAATATTTTTGACACCAGACAAAACTACGTTTAATCCGATTGCTATACCTACATTAATTGGAATAGTTTTTAGGAATAGCTTTTTCAACAATTCATTATTTGGAAACATATGTAAAGCTGATTGAGGAATAACAAAAGATAATTTACCGTGCACCTTTGGATAAATATATATACAGGGTGTAAAGTTACTAGTGGATCATCGAAAGTCATGTGATATAGGGCCTCAAAACCTATCGAATGAACCCCTATATGTGTGGTCGGAAATTTCATACTTCAGGAGATATTTGCAATTTTGTGAAATTTCGAAAAAACGGGATAATTAACTTTCAATCGCAATTACAACTAAAATTTTAAGTTTAGGGCTGTGATTTTTTGTCTGAGATGAGCTGAATGGTTAGTTTTAGTAATGGTTATGTCACTTTTTAACAGAGCTATTTAGAAATCAACGCAAAAAATCTTAAATTAATTTTTTTGTGAAAAATCTCTTCCATCCCTCAACTATGGAGGGCGATAAAAAAAATAAGGTTCATTATTCATTTTATTCTACAAACTATTCCAAACCATGTAGAATCAGCTTGCTACGATAAGTGCCCCACCTCATACATGTAAACAAAAAATTCTATTTTACGAGCTACAGTCCAAACGACTTGATGGATTTTGACATATGAGGTACTGTTAGATTCGTCCTAGCCGTGCGAGTGATACTGTGTATTAACATTTTGTAAAATCATAATGGAGGATTTTTTTACGCAAATAGTCAAATCACTTTAATCAGCTTGGGCATTCAACTCGACATTCCAGGTGCGGGAGCATTCAATCTTCGGTCCGACCAAAATTACTAAGTCACGCAATGGTCCAGCGCGGAATTTGTATCTAACATTTGGCATCTGAGTAGAATCATGTCATATTCTCCGCGATATCATGCAGAAATGCATTACTATTATGGTGCTGCCCTAGGAAATGCTCGAGCAGCTGCTCGCATGTATCGGTAGTATGTATAGAAGATCCCTCTATAAGCACCAGAGCCATTGCCCGGAGTAGAAACATATCCCATACTTCAGTGCACACAATAAATACTATGTTCGGAGAACATGCATCGTTACCATGTACAAAGAGTTCAAGAATTGCTTCCAAGTGACTATGCACAAGGGGTTGAATTTTGTGAGAATATGTTGAGAATGTGCGAAGAGGATGGACATTTTTTCAACAGCATCTTATGGACCGATGATTCCAACTTTAACCGAAATGGAATATTCAACATGCACAATTTCCATTCATGAAGCTTGAAAAATCCACACGCTATTCGCCGACACAGATTTCAACGTCAGTTCGGCGTTAAAATGTATGCGCTGGGGTAGTCAACTAAAAATTAATTGGACCTTATGAATTTCCCGCCAGGTTGAATGGTAATTGGTAAGTCATATCTTGCTTCTTGCTTTTCTACAAAGCAGTTTGCATGAGCTGCTAGAGGACGTTCGAAGCCGCATGTATTTTCACTGCGATGGTGCCCCATGCCACTTTGTGCGGGATGTACGGCATTACTTAGATAGTGCCTTTCCTGGGCGTTGGATAGGTAGAGGTGGACACATACGATGGACTCCAAGGTCACCGGATTTAAATCCTCTAGATTTTTTTACATGAGGTTTTTATAAGTGGATAATCTATACATCTGAATATACAATTGTCAACCAACTGCGTCAGAAAATTGATGAAACAAAAATAAAGGTTATTGAAAACGCAAATTCATTGCGTGTAGTTTTTTTTTTTTTTTGGTGAGGGGGGAATGCATTTACGCACCACCATACCATAGCCCGAGCTACGGCGTGTGTGGGACTCCAGGGTCTTGAGGAGATCACCTAATACCCACTAAACCCTAAACCTCCGCGTGGCCTGACTCATCAGCGTCTCGGTAGGCCATGTGTTGTGCGTGACCTGCGGTCTGCTACAACGTCTCCTCATGTGTTTCAGTCTCTGGGAACGCCGGATTGGTTCCCTTTACCTCGCACATTCTATCGATGTCGTTAAGCGATCATCGATAGAGGGTCTGCTGGTTCTCTTGAAACTCTTGTTTTCGAAAAATCAAGAGTTTCAAGTCCTCTTACTATTTTTTACTTTTGCGTGTAGAAAATAATGTAGGCCATTTTAAACATGTTCTTTAAAAGTTAGTTAAATTAAATTATCTTTCACATTTGTTGGTAAATCGCCATAAAGAGCGGCTAAACACAACAGGTTCTGTACTTGTAGGTGGTAAGGATTCTATTGCGTTTCTTACGTTTATCGCAACACAACAACGAATGTAACATGTAACATGATACACCATAGCAAGCTGAAATTTTCAGGGTTTAATCTACGTATGTACATGGATTGAAATATTTTTTACAATAAAATAAATAGTGAAATACAACCTCAATATTTTTACCGCCCTCCAAAGTTGAGGGATGGAAGAGATTTTTCACAAAAAAATTAACTTCAGATTCATTGCGTTGATTTATAATAAGCTCTCGTGAAAAGTGACAGAACCATTGCTAAAACTAATCATTTAGCTGATCGTAGAAAAAAAACACAGCCCTAAACCTAATGGTTTAGTTGTAATTGCGATTGAACGTTAATTATCCCGTTTTTTTTTTAAATTTCACAAAATTGCAAGTATCTCCTGAACTATAAAATTTCGGACCACACATATAGGGGTTCCTTCGATTGGTTTTGAGGTCACTGCCTTCCGTTGATCCACTTCTAACTTTACACCATGTATATGCTTTTTCTGATTAGAAATGACCCCCTCCCACCTTCTTCGTTTAATCCATGCCTCTTTGAATAACCTGTGTAAGCTTGGGTAACGGTGAAGCCTTATCTCAACTTAATTATACAGGGTGTTCCTCAATGATATGCGAATATTTAAGGGTGTGAATCTACATGAAAGATTAATGTTAGTTTGCTATATAAACTATGGTCCAAAAATGTTTCTTTACAAAAAGGAAAAAAATGGAATTTAATTAATATTTTAAGAACCGCCTCAGATATTTCATTGATATTTAGTACGTCATAAAAGGTAATAAAGTTGCATATTTTTCAATGCAAAAATAAGTTTTAGCTTTAACAATGGCGTGCGTACGGGTAATGACTTCGATATTTTTTTAGAAGAAATGATAAGCCAATGGTTTTTTGCAAAATAAAAATGATTTTTCAATTCCATGTTCAATTTAAAACAAATGATCTCTCGTGAGTTGCTTTCCTTCGATGCGCCATTTTTGAGTAAAAAAAATAAAAACCGTTCTATTGTCTAACTTGCAAAATTATTATTAATTTAATTGGAAAACTTAAACACATTAGGGGTAATGAACAACAACAACTGACAACATAAGCACTACACTAAAACCAACGAAATGATTAAAAAAATTGTTGAAAATGGCCCCCTTCACTTCGTATGCATGCTTCCGCCCTCCTCCAGATGGAATTGCGCACTCGTTGAAATATTCCTGGAGTGTTTTTTATTCTATCACAAGCTGCAACTATTGTTTCTCTTAATTCCTCTACAGTGTTAAACGGACTTGTGTACAAACTGGTGTCTTAAGATAGCCCCACAAAAAGAAATCTAAACTGTTGCGGTCTGGGGACCTTGGTGGCCATTCTTGGGGCCCACCGCGGCCAGTCCAACGATTTGGATAAACAGTGTGCTGGTGCACCATCATGCATGTACCACGTATTGTTTCTTATTACTAACGGAATCTCATCAAGCAGCAAAGGCAACGATTTATTGAAGAAAATTGAGATAAGTCTGTCCGTCAAGTCGTCCCGGCAAGAAAATGGGCCAATAAAGTGGTTGCCAATAATTCCTGCCCATTCGTTAACCGAAAATTGGTGTTGGAAATGGGTTTCGGTTACGGCATAGGGATTTTCTTCTGCCCACAAATGATTATTGTGGAAATTCTGAATGGCATTTCGAGAAAAATTAGCTTCGTCCTTGAACAGAGTCATTGATTCAAATTGTAGATTTTGTGTAATTTTTTGAAGATACCACTGACAAAAGGTCACACGCCTTGGAAAATCAACGGAAAGTAATGCCTGTACTCTTAAAATATGGTAAGGATATAACAATAAATCCGCCAAAATTCTCCAATTTGATGGCAAATATTCAACCTACCGATCTCCCTCGTACTCGTTTCAGGATGTTCTTCGACTTCGTGCAGCGCTGCTTTCTCAATTTCAGGTGTTCTCACACTTAGAGGTCTACCTTCAGATGTTCCTTTTCGAACAGAACCAGTTTCAATAAGACGACGATGAATATTAGAAAAGGTTCGACTATCTGGCAAAGCACGATCGGGATATCTCTGGTGATAAATCTGTCATTTCCGCCATTTCTGCATTTGAATAATTCATCATTATTAACAAGATTGTAAAAACTGAATAATGAAAAAGATGTCACAGCGAACCGATTTGAATAACAGAGACTTGTCAGATGTCAAAAGCCAGTGACATATTCCAGAACAACTAGATATTTATTGTTAAATTGCATTCATATTATTACATTAATTTTCTCGGACAATAGAACGGTTTTTATTTTTTTACTCAAAAATGGCGCATCTAATGAAAACAATTCAAGAAAGATCATTGGTTTTAAATTAAACGGGGAATTTAAAAATAATTTTTATTTGGCAAAAAACCATAGGCTTACCATTTTTTTCTTAAAAAATATATCGAAGTCAATACCCGTACCCACGCCACTGTTAAAGTTCAAAATTATTTTTGCATTGAAAAATATGCAACTTTATTAACTTTCTCTACGTACTAAATATCAGTGAAATATCTGAAGCGGTTCTGAAAATATTAATTAACATACTAACATTAATTTTTCATGTAGATTCACACCCGCAAATATTCGCATATCATTGAGTGATCATAAAGTATGTTGACCAATAAAACATTAGGCCCCACTCGGATGTACAAAACGATAGGTCCGAACATGTTCTACACAGGTATATCGCTTGCTATGGTATATAAGCTAGATTAAGTAAAAACACTACCACAATTCTCTTTCATATTGATCAACGTACGTATAGTAATATATTTTTAGAGAATACTTTTAATGTTTACGCAGTAAATACATATACAAACATAATTTACTATGGCATTCGAAGCTTCATAACTACATTTTGGGTAAACTTACCTGTATTTCAGGTATTAGATACAGCCCCAAATTGAATAAGCCATAAAGCGTGAATCCTACTAAGTTAAGAATTATGAAGTCGAAATTAAGGCCAACCACGCTAAAACAAACAAACGTTAGTACAAACTGGTTAGGATAGTCAGTGCCGTGTAATATTTACACAGAACTACTGGTAACTCGTCGTATTCTTTACAGGACGTGATAATGGGGCTAAAATGCAATAGGGTCATTGATATTTTCAGTGACAAGAAAAAAAATTGGATGATTCGGTATTATGGTTTCGCTATCATTCGCATTATTTGGGTAAAATATCAAACATTTTATTTATTGGCATGGCCGAGCTCGAGCTGTGACCATGTATAATAAATAGAATAAAAACAAGCTTTTATTTAGCTGTTCACAAATGAAGACGTTTTCAAATAAAGCGTGTTATGTTTTGGCAGGATGGAAAAATGGTATAAATAAAAGCTTGTTTTCAAACAAGTATTTCTTGTTTTATTTATTTTTCATTTCTTAGTATTTATGATCTCAAATAACTAGTATGGTAATTCCTCTATAACTTTCACATATTTTGTTAATATGACTCCATAAAACCTTTTAATTTATTTGTGTTATAGAATTCTGAAAGATATAAATCGCCATCTGGAATTTAGTATGACGCTATTTTCTTATGGTGTTTCTCCTTTTAGTCCTTTTCATTTGATACCCATATTATAGCTCTGACCATGAAAACTATCAATCGCCATTTAACAGCGGCCGTCGTGTTGGATATTAGATGATGTCACTTCGCTTATTATGTTTCCTTCATCAAGCCCTTTCATTTGATATCCATACTATAGGGGTGACTATGGAAATCATAAATCGATATGTTGGATTAAGGATGCATCACGTTGCTTGTTACGTTTCTCTCATAAATCCCTTTAATTTGACGCCTAGATCATAGGTATGATAATTGAAAACGCCATTGGGGCAGTCATCATATTGGATTTAGAATGACTTCACCATGCTCATTGCGTTTCTCGGATCAAGTCCTTTTATTTGATATCTAAAGCATAGGGTGACTGCGAAAAAGGTAAATCTTCATTTTGCAGCGACCTTTATGTTGGCTTTAGAATGATGTCACTTTACATATTGTGTTTCTCGCATCCAGCACATTCAATTGATATCCATATCGTAGGGCTGAGGATAAAATACGCAAAATAGCTATTTTGGATTAAGTATGACGGCACTTTGCTTGTAGTCTTTCTAATGATAAGCCCGTTTATCTGATACCCATATCATAGGGGTAATTATGAAAAATGTGAATCGTCATTTTGCGCCGGCTGCCATACTGGTTTTAGAATGACGTCACTTTGCTTATTGTGTTTTTCTCGTCAACCTCTTTCATTTGATACCCATATTATAGGAGTTACTATAGAAATTTAGTATCGCCATGTTATAGCATCCGACATATTGGGTTCAAAGTGACGGAAGTTAATTAATTTTGTACTGTTACGTAAATCAAACGTGTATATAACATTTCAGCACAATTGGTTAAGGTTAACTGGTTTAAAATTCGGTTCCAAGATTATGCCCCACACACACTTAGTAACATAGTCACAGGCAGGTCAAGTTAAATAAAAGCTTGTGTTAAAGCTAAAGTTCGCACACCACCTCAATTTTGTAATCAGATTCCATGGCGACGTGTAAACAACTCAGTGATGAAATGTATGTCAACTTTTTGTTGTTTAGCTTTAATATAGTCCATTTTTTAAAATCAAGTTTACTGCTTATAACTCCTAGATAATCTTTTTAGTCCTTGACGAGCCGGACGTCGAGACACCGGTGGTGAAATGAGGAGAAATCAGAATACAGTCCGTAGGAAACGCGCACTAGGGAGCAACATTCAATCCAAGCAAGCACAGCAAGAAACATTTGTAGAAGCACTCATATACGAAGACAGAACCTGGTTGGCTACAAAACACCCCAAAAAACACACACAGCAAGTCAAGCATATCGTCAAGAAATATTAGTAGACACTAGTAGCACTCATATACGAAGAAGGAACTGGTTGGCTACAAAATGCCAAAAACACACACATACACAGCAGGTATTCAATTCAAGCATATCGTCAAGAAGTATTGGTAGAAGTAGTTATATACGAAGAAAGGTACTGGTTGGCTACAAAACACGCCAAAACACACACAGAACGTATTCAATTCAAGTCGTTTACAAACAATGGTACAAGTACTTTGTATATGAACAAGACGACTGGTCAGATACACTGGTACAAACACTCGTACATAAGGAAAGCTGCAGGTTGCTCACCATATTTTCTTTTTACTGCATCCTCACAATTTCTTTATTGCCTTTGCTTAATTTACATTAATTTCTTAGTGTGTATAAAACTGCATAATGACTGATAGCGAAAACAAAATCATTAAAATTGAAGTTCATCATTAAAAAACGCGGAGCAATCAAGGCTTTCTCTAACTCGATTTCGAATTTTTTTGCAAAACTGACCGCTCTGTTCGATCTCATTTCGATATTGAGACTCGGTTACCACAGATAGCTTCGTTGATAAACAACTTCGAAGCAATTCAGTTAAAAACAGTTGATATTTCAGACACACAAAGCGACGAGATGGAAACGTTTGAAATTGCTTATTACGAAACTACAAGTATATTGCATGCTCGTAGATTAATGCATGATTTGAATCTTCAACCGACAGATTCAATGCCGGCGCATTCTTCAAATTCCAGCAGTAGCACCTCGCATGACGGCGGCATTGCCATTCTCCAGGAGAAATCCATATCACTAGCGAAGTGAAGTTTCCACACATTGATTTACCGCATTTTGATGGACAGTACACTCAGTGGACGTACTTTTCTGAAAGTGTTCATACTTCAATCGCACACTGTTTACCCTTAGTGAGCTGAACCGTGGCAAATACTTGTTCTGGAAGTTGTTGTATCCAGTACTCCTTCCTGTTAAAGTGATTGTACACGCGTTAAGTAATACTTCAGTACCGACTGCCGAGTGGCGGTTCAAGTCCGTCAACGGGCCACTTTAAGTCTATTCAATATCATTAACACGCAAAAAAAGGTGGCTTGGCTGAGAGTCTTCACCGACTAACCATCTTAGCTTCCCAAATTACGAGGTGCACTCCAGTCTGAGAAAGAATCGGGGAGTTGTGGCTCTTGTCCGCAGCAGTCTTTCCTGCTCCAGAGATGTTTCTTTGGAATCAGACCGGAAGGACATTCAGTGGCTTCGCCTCAACTCCAAAACATCCCTCAAATTTATTTGCTGTCTTTATCGCTCTCCCTCGGACCATAACTGGGATGACCTACTTGAATACCTCGCCGTCAAGATCAACTTCCTGAACATCAATCACCCCGCTTCAGAAGTAGTTCTCCTCGGTGATTTCAATGCCCATAATGAGCTTTGGTTGGGCTCAAACAAGACCGATGCAGCAGGTCGTGCAGTTGAAGCGTTCGCTCTTACTCAAGGGCTGACCCAGCTGGTGACGAGCTCTACTTTTTTCCCCGCATCTCGTCACATGGCAGAAGCCTGCTGGATCTCTTTCTGACCACCCCTGTCCCATACAGCACTGCTGTCCTGTCCCCCTAGGTAACTCAGACCACGGTGTGGTGGAGGTTAGGTTATGGTCAGAACCCGTTGTGACTGCAGAAACTCGCACAGGCCACAAAATTTGGTATTACGGGCATGCCGATTGGGAGCGGCTGGGAGACTTCTTCTCTACCTTTCGTTGCAGAGATGCGTCGGCTGTCTGTTCTCCGATAACCGAAATTATCCACGTCGCAATGGAGGAATACATTCCTGATACAGTGAAAGTGCCTAAACCAGGGTCCAACGGCTGGTTTAACAAATCATGTGACAGATCAATCACACAGAACCTTCTTACAAAACCCCACTGCAGAGAACAGACAAGCCGACGTCGAGTCCAGAAACAAATATAACGAAGAGATTCGCTATGCCAAAAACCAGCACGTCCCCCCAAAGCCCAAGTGCCGTCAATTCAAAGGGTTCCCTACACTATGCGGGAGGTAACATTTAGGCATAAGACCGTAAGACAAGTGGTCTTGACTTGATTCCTGCTACTGCACTGAAGAGGTGTACAGCGGAGCCTGCTCCAGTTCTTTCGCATCTTCTCCAGATATTTTATGAATCCGGAACCTTCCCAGAATACTGGAAATTTGCTCATGTTCAACACATCCCAAAAAAACGATCTTAGACCGACCCTTATAACTACAGGCCTACAGCTCTGCATCTAGTCTTATGCTGAAGCTCATGTCGTTGCTCTTGACATCAGCGTTCGATCAGCTGTGGCACGCTGCCCTCTTAAGCAAACTTCCATCCTATGGCCTCCCAGAAAAGCTTTGCAGATGGGTGGATGACTTTATCTCTAGCAGCAAGATGTCCGTCGTAAATGACGGGTTGTTCTCTTCATCCCACAACGTCAACGCGGGTGTCCCCAGGGATCGGTCTTAGCTGCTCCGACACTGTTCCTCTTACATATCAATGACCTCCTTTCCTGCACAATCAAGCCAATCTACAGCTTCGCTGATGACAGCACTCTACATGCAGCAATTCAAAGTGACAAACTGATATCTGCCACTGAGTTGGAAAAAAAAGACTAGCGACGACTTCCTCTCTGACGAGAGACCTGGAGGTTATTACTGCTTGGGGACGCATCAACCTTGTACAGTTTAATGCTTCCAAAACACAGTTCTGTACCTTGATGAACAAAAAGCGTCCTAGCGCTCATCCGGTTTCGATGGATGGCCGAGTTCTGCCAAAGAGCCATTCATTTCGGTTAGTCGGAGTCCAGATCACCGAGGACCTGATCTGGCACGAACACATCTCCTGAATAGTGGCAGGTGCGGGGAAAAAGCTAGGCTATTTGTTTAAGGCTAAGAAGCACTTTTCCCCGTATGACCTTCTCATCTATACAAGGCCCAGATAAGGCTTTGCCTATTTCTCATACTTTTGGGGTGGCGCCGCCCGCCTATATTATTTATACTCGTTGCTGTCCAGAGGAGGGCTGTTCGACTGATCGATGACTCTTCTCCAACAAACAGTATCGGAACTCTTTCGTACCGGCGCGCGGCGTGCCTTCGGCCATCTAGCTCTCTTCTACCGTTACGCGTGATGTACCTGCCAGATAGACCCGCCCGACTTTGGCCTCCCATCCTAACCGTATCGAACTTCGTACGCCCAGAAATGGCCGGAGCGACCGCTCCTTTGTCCCGAGAATGTCGAGATTGTGGAACAATCTACAAGAGGAAGATTCTAACAGTTCT